TTTACGAAGCCTCGAGTTGATATGAATCGAGTCAGTAGAGCGATCAGATCATTAAAATTTCATTTATATCTGTGACAGACAGAAGTTTTTTCTAAAAGGTGGTGGTATTATATAGATAGTTTTCGCTCGCAAACGATTTGAAGAACATATTCTAAAGAATCCCTCGTAAAGAGTTCTAAAATTATTTGATATCTTCGTGACGCGAAAATGGTACCGTTCCCGTATGCTATGCGGTCTTGATGGCAGTACATATACGTTATAGATCGACTAACATGACATGTAATTCCATAAGGGAATGTGATTTTCTTGAAACTGTATTCACTTAATGTTTTGAAAAACTTGGAGTAAGAAGGCTACAATAGGGATTTTTTCTAATGGAAAGAGTGCGGTACTCGAATGACGCGGAGCTGGTTTGGTTTGCCTAATTCGTGGTTTTACCAGCATATGCAGGAGTTATTTTTTACATAGGGTGCGATTGGAATCATTAAGCTGATTCTTATTCAATTTGAACGTGTAATGTGTAAGGCGTGGACGGGTAGTCAGAAAACCTCGACATCAAACGCACACTCACTATTTTCGTCAAAAACATATGTGAATTCCACAAAAATAACGCTACCTATGTGCATCTTTAGAAAGCGTACGGGCAACTCTAATCCGAACCTCAAATCCTAGTTATACTGCTACCATCTACGGTATCATTTTGTTTTTGAGAGTATGCTCATATTGTCTCTATCGTGCACTTTCAGGATTGAGTTAAGCGAGGCTCATGGAGCCGACGCGTTACTTGTGTTTATATACATAAAGAAAACGAAAACATGAAAATAATGTTTTCTTTAATATATAGAATAGAATAGAATCAATAGGATAACTTTATACAGCTGTTAGATAAGAAATCAATTGATACAGTATACTTTATTTTTCAGTGGGCCGTGAAACTATATACATAGAGCAATTTATAGAGAATGAACACGAGTGTTTATTCCATATTAAATGTTCACTTTATTTATATGAGTCAATAGAAGGATTCGATGAGCATGTATCCTTCTATATACAAATGAATCTTTCGGAACATTTTCTCCAGTCGTAAAAAGTAATACAAAATGAAAAATCATATTTCGCATTTAGATTATATAAAAAGGTATGACTTCACTGAAAAGATACATATAGAAAAAAAATTATGGGAATCATGTAAAACATTTTGGTCGATTAGGGAAAATAAAGAAAAGTTTTAAGATAAAATGATGAGTTCATAGAGAAGGAACGATATTGATAATTCTCGGGACATTCACAAAGTGAAGACAAAATATTAACAATAGCGATTTAATTGAATATAATTGAGATTAGGTTGCACGCAATGCGGCTGGTAGAAAAAGAGAACTTGCTCATATCTCTTCTGAAAGTTGTTTCTTGTATCCAAACTAAAAGAGAGGTTTTTCCCGTAAAGTATATCTTCGTTTCTGCCAGCGTATAAAGTATCGATACGAAAAGACTAAATGCAAATTGTATGTAATGCTATGGAAAATCACACATACTAAAATATGGAAGTAAACTTGAAGATATTTACTCTTGTTTGATCATATCGTGAAAATACTCACTGCTCTCTTCTCAACTCTGAAAAATAGCACGTGTTTCTTTCTGTGTGGTAAGACATGCTAGTTTATATTATTGTCGATTCTGAGGCTAATCAGGCCTATATGATATTTTTCGAGAATAAAATGAAGTATCAATGATCAGAACTTTCCCTCAATGAATTTCGTTTTAGAGTTTTCATAACTCGCTTTGTTAGAGTGTATGATGATTAGGTTGGAATAATTCTGATTGTCAAATTACATACCATTCTTCGAAATGTCGTCATCAAAATCTGGCAATAATTTAATATTAGAAAGACATTAAAAAGAGTGCTTAATACTCAAGAGATAAACTTTCTATTGGTATTTAAGCTTCGTTCTTTGACGACTTGAATTAATTTCTTACTTATAGTTGCGATAAACAAACCAACATTTTTACGGTTTGGTTTCGTGAGTGATTCGCTCTGATGTTACCAGAAACTGCCTATCTACATGTGTCCTCATGTATTGTTTGGATAATATCTTTTAACAGCTCCCAATTTCTATTGAATAATAGACAAAACGTAAAATAAGAAAGGAGTCTCTAGAAATTGCCATTTTGAAAAACATTTTTTAATAACGACAGATTTTTTTGTGTTGCAGACAAGGAATATTCGATTTTAAATCATTCGGTAGAAAAAATACTTATCGACTAGATAATACAAAAATATCTGTATGCTGATTCGAAATTCCATAGTAATGAAAGTAAAACTATAACACGTCCCTAATAAATATTCTTATTAGAAACAAGTATTGACTTACTAAATCTGATGATCATAAATTTAGGTTTCTAGTTGTATCTTGCAAGCATCGAAATAAAACATTTCGCGTAAAAGCAGCAAGAAATGAAACAATGTCTACGATTTGTTTTAAATGAAAACAAATTAATCGAAAAAAACTATAATTTTTACTGTTCCTGTATTTGGCTCAATAATGCTATCAGATGAAAGAAACTATTTTGATAAAGACTTTAACTTTAACTTCAACTGAAATATGGATAAATCCTGGATTTCACTGAGCACAGTGCCAATGATTCATCACATGCTTTTCTCTCAGCTTAGTTTCTTTTGATATTCTTAAAATAATTTGATTTGAAAACGAATCTTCGTTCTCAAAACTACCTGAAGTGAACATTAAACAAAGTGATTCCTACGATAAAGTGATCCTTATTTATTACAGTGTTTGAGAGTTTACTTCATGATACTCATTAAAAAAAACAGATTTTTCATCGAGTGAACAGAAATTCGTTTTCAGACACTTTAGTTGTTAATGTTGAATATGAATCCTTTTTGAAATTTTTTTCATACAATCATTATTCGATCTAAAGGGATAATGACTCATATTAGTTTTACAATTCCTGTTGCAAATTATCAGAGAGTATGATACTCTATCGGAATCGCTTTTTAACAATTGAACTTGGTGTTAACTGATGCGTGGCCAACGATTCGATTGCCACTCACTTTACACAACTTCTATAAAACAACCGAATACCGTGCTCAAAAACAAGACTTTTTGAAACTAAAACTTAGCCTTGTGTACTAGTTTATCTTAACAGGTATAGCTGCATATTTTCAATCAAACTATAGGATTGTAACGTTTCTATTGACAATTTCAGAAATTTGAGATTTGAATGTAGAATAATAAATCCATCAAAACGAAAGATAGAATAATCAATGCTTAGTTGTAGAATACTGAACGCTTCTAGATTGATTGCAGCACGATGTATTTTGTCATACCAACATCTACTATTTTAGTTTTCATATCCTCTCACACGCAGATATCTATCAACTCATAAGCACAATAGCAGGGTCACTAGATAAATCCACCATGTCACATCGAATAATAAACACTTAAGGCGACGCAGAATTTAAGCTTTTTCTAGCTTCCAAAGTAGTGAACCGTTGTGTTAAAAATGTGAATTGCACTGCTAAAATGCGTGTAAAATAAACATTGCGATGGAAACATAAAATACTGAAACTTGAAATATTGATCATATAATTTTCTCACTATAATGCACTATTGATGCAATAAATAGATTTTGGCTCGTAATTCTTGAAGAATTAACGAAAGCTCAATAAACTTTTTAAAAGTCGATGTGTTCTTCTCAAGTATAGAGGGAACTTATTATACAAGTGATTCCTATAGTGTACACCAATCTACCCTCGATCATATAATAATGAACCCTCACAGGTATTATGATAAACGCTTCTACTGAAAATGGAGAATAATCAACCATTGATCGTAAAATAATCAACCCTTTTGATGACATCGCTCTACTGGTCTGCCATCAGCGGTATTATAGTAAACGCTTTTTCTGAAAGTGGAGAATAATCAACCCTTTTTGTGCCATCGTACATTGATCTACCCTTCACAGTATTGTAATAGATGCTTCTTCTGAAAATGGAGAATAATCAACCCCTAGCCGTAGAATAATATTTTTTCTGCATGAATCGTATAATAATCTACCCCTGATTGTTGGATAATAAACTGATTTTGGAAATGCGTATATTAATCTACACCTATCTGTTTATTAATAAACACTTTGAATAAAATTATGAAATAAAAAACCCTTAAAACAGTTTCATATACCCTTACGATAACAAACCTTTCGGCTTATATACCCTTCATAGTGTAGATGACATGCGCTTAAACCCTTCAAGGGTTTATAGAAAAAAAATCAAGCGCACGCGTGCATCATTCGCCCCTTTTTTTTACTGTGTGCTATGGGCACATAGCGAGCAAAAATAATAATTTTGTAGAGATATATCGGGACCACTTACTAGTAAAAATATCAGGAACGTGTTGATTTTTATTAAATGAATATAACCATTGGATTACTCGTGAACAATTCCACTCTCGAGGATCCATTGTAATCTTATTGAAATGTGTAATTGTTTAATTAGAGAATCCTGTTATAAAATATGATGAAGTGGAGTGATCACTGCAAAATAAAATAAAATTTTTATGTGAAAACGAAAACAAATACCTTGCGTATTGAATAATTGCTACAGTAAGTTCAGCTGCTTATTCTTATCAGAATTACCAACCTACAGTGGCCGTCAAAATTATCCGACCACAGTGTAAAACAAATTTGTTCGCTTTTTTTCTCAGCAATGAAATAAGTTAGAGACCTGTGGTTTCACCATGTTGTAGCCCATAGTCTATAGTATGTTTGTAGTTAATAATAGATTAACATTCACTATAAATTAGTTCATTTTTTTATTAAAACGAAAACAAAATATGCCCATTTTTTCACGCGTCAAAATTATCCGACCATTACGAAACTGTTCAGTATCATTAGTGAGCTTGTTCCTGGCGCCCTCTTTTTTTTGTGTTTTTTCGTATGGTACGTTCAAAATAGTTCAGTCAGTTGCCAAGAACATAATTACTGTGATGGCACCAAAGAAGACGAAAGAATATTCAAATGACTTACGTGAAGTTGTTATTAAACACTACCTGAATGGCAATAATGAACGTGAAATAGCTCAAAGCGTATTAATTCCACGTACCTCTGTTCATTATATGATTCAAAAGTATAAATCCACAAAATGTATTGGAAATATTATTGGAAGAGGTCGAAAAAGAAAAACTACAAGTCACACTGATCGCAATGTACAACGTAAAATCAAAGCTGATCGGTGACTATCGTCAACATCTATCAAAGCTCAACTTCAAACTGAACTTAAACTTACAATTTCTGAGGCAACAATTCGTCGGCGTGCTCGTGAAATCTGTTTATACGGTCGTTGCTCGGAAAAAACCATATGTCAGCAAAATCAACCGTGGCAAAAGACTTGAATATGCTGTAACATATCGCGAAAAGCCTTTGGGCTTCTGGAATAGTGTCCTTTGGTCAGAAGAAAGCAAATTCAACTTATTCGGTTCAGATGGGAAGATAATGGTTTGGCGAACAACAGCAGAAGAATTTAATCCAAGATGTACAGTGCCAACTGTGAAGCATGGAGGTGGAAATGTTAAGTGTTGGGGATGCTTTTCAGCATCTGGCGTTGGTAATTTGGTTTTCATCGATGGCAATATGACTGGCGAATTGTATAGAGATATTTTACAAAAAAAATTATTACAATCGGTGAAGAAATTGAACATGAACACTGACTGGTACTTCCAACACGACAGCGACTCAAAGTATAGAACAAGTATTGTAACGAATTGGCTCGATCGGGAACGTATGCAAAGACTCAAACGGCCTTCGTGTTCACCAGACATAAATCCTATAGAGTATCTATGGGACGAAATGGAGCGAAGAATGAAGAAACACCAACCCAAAAATGAAAAAGAACTCAAGGATATTCTGACTCGAATTTGGTATGGCATTGAACAATCTGTCTTAAAAAAGTTGGTTCATTCAGTTCCAAATCGATTAAATGAAGTCATTCGTACGAAAGGATATCCAACTCGATACTAATTGTAGCGCAAAAAAAGACAATTATAGATGCTGAAACTTCATTGTGAACTATGGTCCGATAATTTTGACGCGTGAAAAAATGGGCATATTTTGTTTTCGTTTTAATAAAAAAATGAACTATAGTGAGTGTTAATCTATTATTAACTGCAAACATACTATAGACTATGGGCTACAACATGGTGAAAACCACAGGTCTCTAACTTATTTCATCGCTGAGAGAAAAAGCGAACAAATTTGTTTTACACTGTGGTCGGATAATTTTGACGGCCGCTGTATATAAACCCAACAAGATTTAAGACTAACTTTTGAACAATTAGTGAAAACTCCAATCAACGGCGACCTGAATTAAAAAATATAATTTTCAATGTAATTTGTTTTTGTTTTGAAAGAATGGCAACTTACTTAAATAGACTACCACAACAAACAGCATAATTTTTAAAATTTAAAAATTCTTTAGAAAGACGATAATTACTTCGCCAAGGAAAATAATCAGCAGGTGATCTAATAAGAAAATTATAAAAATTAATTAAAAAGTTTATTAGCGACCTATATTGAACAACGATCGAAAATAAGTGGACATCAGTTGATTATATCATTGGTTTCCATTTCAGTCAGTCGTGCGTAACGTCAAAGAGAGGTCGTATCTGTATAATATATCACTATTATAAAATTATCACAGGGTATATTAAAAAACTAAGTAACATACTAAACCTATGAGAGCTTATCACGAAATCTTTTACAATTCAAAAAATCGCAGAAGATTAATACGAAACCTTGTATTTTACTAAACCTCGTAGAGATTCCGTGGAAGTGCATGGTAACCCCCTGAATATCGTAACGTTCCACGAAACCATCTGGGATTCGTCTGACACCTTTTTTTCTCAGTGTACTCTTGTACTTGCTACATTTATTGTGCAGAGCTGCTAGAAAAAATGCTATAGTCTACATTGTAAACAGAAGTATTCCAGTACGAGTAGACAACGCGAAGAAAAAAATTGGACGAGGGTGTGGGTGTGGTTTTGGTGTGTGGAACAAAATATAACTACACCCACATCCACACTCTAGTGATTAATTGAGTTTCTTAAGAGACCCTACGAAGACATCAAATCAATTGAATACCGCTATAAGTTCATGTTTATTTAAATATATTGTGTTAAAAGAATGGGAACATAGTAAACTATTGAAATAATCGAAAAACGTGAGTTATGATGCCATCTACGTCGATAGTACTTTGCATGTAAGTACCGATTGTCAAGCATTTTTTTTCGGAGATTCCTTGCTACTATTCCAATGAAGTTGCTGCATTGAAAATTGTACTGAGAAGATCACATAATGAAATGACTTTTGAAAAGGATTATGAAAAACACTTTCTGTATATATGTTTCCAGGAACATATTGTTGACAATTACCGCATGCATCCATTGGAATTGCGCCATTTGCAGTTCTTTGAAATGTACTAAATGATGATATGCGTTGTGTCGTATTGCCAGCTTTCAACGCTAAGACCATAGCGCGTGGTTCTCCGCAATTTCCTGGAGCACGAGGTTGAGTTTGATTTCTTTCAATCGGCATCCCAGATTGCTGCGCTTGCTCCGATACCGTCGCCTGGGTAATGCCCAGTGCTTCCTCTACTAGAGAAAATGGCATATCAGTGCTTGGTGAATAAGTGACCTTAGGTTGAATATCTGCATTAGCACCACCTACAGGAATTTCTCCATGAAAAACTGCTTTTCCATCTGGACCGGAAAAGGCATAAAATTTTTTTCCGTCTTCAGTTGTTACAATACAAATAGCACCATCTTTAGTTGGTTTTGGCGCTTTAGGGTTTTGATCTCTAACCTGTGCATCGACCGTTTCAAGAATTTCATTTGCAAGTATTTGATCCGATTCATACATTCTATTTCTAAAATGTTCTTTGTTCTTAATACGTGTCCAACCTTTCGAAGTATTTTTCAAACCATCTTTGAATGCTTTTGGTAATCCAGGTAAACTAATACCTAATAAAAGTCCACCGATGATTGATTCATAAGTTTTAGGTGATGACATATCCCAGCTACTAAAACTATTATTAGCGGCACTACCAAATAAATAGGCTGTACCTACACCTGAAGCAACTGTTGCGCACCCAATTAATAGTCGAGCATTGGTAGATTCAAACGAACTGATGAATTTTCCTGTATACACAAATCCTAAGGGTGCCATAAATCCACCGAAAGCACCCCCAAATCCAGCGAATACTGTACCTGGACTTAGTCTCCATTGTTTAACAGAAAAACTACCATTGGCTGCCGCACAGCTTAGATATGCCATGCCGATTGAAAGTGTTCCACTACTAATGGCCAATACCCATTTACCTACTCCAAGAGTGGTATAGTATTGGTGCCAAGCACCGATTCCGCCTATTGCACTAGCTCCAAAAACAAATCCTTGGAAACCACTACTCCAGGTCATCGGTCGACTCCATTGCCATTGCACCGGATTCCAATTATTATTTGCCGCTGCCATTCCCAAATACATAGTAGCTGCACCAATCAAACCTCCAGTAGCGATAGCTCCAGCAGCAGTGAATCCCAAAGCCACTAGGGTACTAAGTGAAGCTACAAATCCTACGGGTGCTAATGCGCCAGTTAATATACCACCACCAATTCCTATATAAGTACTAGCCTTCGTCATATCCCATTCCCAAGGACACCAATTATTGTTTGCTGCACTTCCTCCTAAATAACCACCAAGCAATCCTAGTCCAATCATGATAGGCAAAAAGGCAATTTCACCACTTGGATCAATCATTGAAACTGGAGAATTTCCAGCATATTTGTAAGGACTAGCATATTGTTCTTGAGGATCAATTTGATAGAATCGACCAATATCTGGATCATACAATCGTGCATGATAATTGTACAAGCCTGTTTCTTCGTCCCATTCTTGGCCAGTATATCGATAAGCAATTTGTACTTGAGGAATGCCATATTGTCGTATTAAATTACCATAAGGAAGATAATCATAAGCGGCTACTACTTCTTGATTTTTGACAATTAATCGGATGGATCCTTCATGATCACAGATAACACTATAAAACTGGTCGTTTCTTATGAAACCAATAAGACCTTTAGGACCATATATGTAGCCCGTATATTGTTCATAACGTTCAGAATCAGCCAAATCAATTACTTTTTCCACTAATGAACGTCCTTCACCATCACGTAAGTACAAAACTTCCTTGAGTTTTTCTCCTTTTCCATTAATGACATGTTTTCGAACTCGTTCACCCTGAACATCATAATCGTAAGAAATTTGACGACCATCTTGTAATTTAATTATGTTAGGCCGATTTGTAGTTGGATCATAGATAATTTCCATGATTCCTCGATGTTCTGCTTTCGTTACATTTCCCAATGCATCATGTATCATTTTAAAACTTGTTTTTGTTTGATCTCTTGACATAGATTTATAATCGATATATTCAATTTGATTGTTCGTTTCATTGTATTGCAATTCATAACGTGAATAACCTGTCCAATAATGACGATGATTTCCATTTTCATCAATCATATAAGCTTCAACATCACAAGCCGATTCGCCCATTTGACACGAAGAGTGCTCCTGAAGGACACCTATGATTTCAGGTATGAATATCTGATAATTCGTAAGTTTTTGATAAAATTCTTCTTTAAACAGAGAGCATGACTTATTTGTCGAATACAAATATCCTTTGTTCGAGAGAATTGTCCAGATATCTTTTGCCGTTTCGAGATAAATTGCAATCGATTTTGGTTGTGTATCTGTATCAACTTGTAACCAAGTTAAAAAGATTTTTTGGAATTTTTCGAATAATAAAATTGCTCTTTGTGAAATATATTTTTGTAGTACCGTAGCAAGTAGATGATCATAATCAGCAAATTGTCCTAAGTTCTTTTTTAATGCTTCATAATCAATCCATCTATCTGTATTCACTTTTCCTTGTAAATGGATTCCATCATCGTTGTCCGGTTGAATGTAATTCTCGTCAACCAATATTTCCCAAATTAATTGTGAATCTTTTGAAGTAATTCCACTTGATTTTGCTTCAAAGCTAGATGGTTGAATAGGTTTTAAACTCTTGTCACCCACAATATATTTTGCTTTCACAAGTTCCATATGATTACCATAACTATATTGATGACCATAATCTTGCGTAAAACACTTGTTTAAAAGCTCTGCTAATTTATAACCAAAAGTTCCCCCACAGTCACGAGGTAAATACAAAGCAGACTCTCTTGGCAAAAATGCTTTGATGACACGTCGGTTTTTGTCGAGAAAGCCAGCATTTTCCAAGAGTTTTAAGTAATATTCAGCTTGTTTTAGAGTTATATGCGTTCCAGCTGTTTCTAGACGTTCTCGAAAAGTTTCTGGACTTAATGACAAACGGCGTCTATCACAATCATCAAGCCATAGTGCTTTAAATTGTGTTCGTGCAATAGTACCATCAAAAAATCCACCTTGACCATAACTTCCTTCGGTATAATAAACAATTTCATTGAGATATTTATTTTGAAGAGTTTCTAAATATCCAGGAGAATTATAATCATAATGGGTGGCAAAACTGTTTGAAATATGCATTTCATCCGAAACTTGTCCATGTGCAGAGTAATTAAATTTTGCCCATTGCTCTACATTATCAGGTGTTCCTATCGCAGTTATTCGATTTTGTTTATTACGTGAATAAGCAACGATTAGTGGCTGATTTTTATATAACATCGGATAAGTGATACTGGAAACATGTTCACCAAAATAAGTATAATCGACACGATGAGTGTGTGATATATTATCGCTAAACGTCGTTATTTCCCTAGTGGATAGTTTTCCTTCTTGTAAATAAGTTGAGGACTCTCTCCATATTCCTCCCAGTTGGACTATTATTGAAACGACTGATTTACTTCTAAAGCTTGCATTTGTCGAATTGTTATTCTTGACTGTTTGAAGGTAAGGAATTGCTTTAGGTAAATCACCGTAATTATTAGCAAGATTTTGCAAATCTTCTTGACTTAAGCATTCCGTACTATATCCTTGACTAGCAAGATCACCTCTTGTATCATATTGATTATACACTACTCGACACGATTTACCATTAATATCATATTGTAAAATAAATCGTAACAATTTTTCACGACTATAAATTAAAATCTGTTTACTTGTATCTGGTGAAATTCTTTCAATAACTTGTCCATCTTTGTCATAAGTCATTCTAGTAGAAAAATTATTTTGAAGCTTTCGTTGTTGTTCGTTTGCTTGCCATTGATTCATCAATTGTGCGTAGGGTATTACTTGACTTAAAGTACCAATATCGCGATGTGCATGATAAGCAGGTGGTAACACTTTAATAAGTCGATCTTCATCATTATATTCATATGTAGTCAACAAATTATTTCCCATGTTAGTATAGACATACAATCCTACTTGATTTCCACGTAAATTTAATACAGTGATTTGTTTTGTTCCATTTGGTTGAATACAAACTTGTACTGAGTAGCCTTTTGTACTTGGAAATAATAAATTAATAAAGCTGGATTGAGCATCACGTGTGTATTTCAAACAACCAATTTCGTTCACTCTAAATAAACGTCCTGGCTGTCCCGTACTACTCTTCTCATTCAATGGATTGTCTGCATATCGAACTTCCGAATAACAATAACCTTCATCCTTTGGATTGAATTTGTTGACTGTACCGATTAATTTGCCAGTTTGCCAAACATTATTATTTTGATGAATAAGTCCATTTTGAATAAAATCATTCTGAAATGCTAGTAGAGGTTTATCATCATCAACAATAATTTGTGTTGGCTTAATCACTATTGCCTGTCGACCTAAATCATCGTATAATGTTTGAGAAACAATAGCCGATCGAGAGCTTTCCAATTGAATAGTTTGTAATTCTTCATCTAAAATATTTTTATAGACTACATCAATTGCAGCCTTGCTAAACAGAAAAAGTTGACTGAGAGAAACATTTCCAGTTAAGTTTAGCGATAAATAATTCGAATTATTGACACGAACTTCAAATGCTTGGTCTATTTGCAGTTGACCGTTTATCCATAACCATAATCGATTTCCTTCAGCGACTATCAAATATTCGCCAGAAGACGGCACTGAACTGATACTTTTATGATTGACAATTAAATTTGTTTTGTCTGAATTAAGACATTCTACTATGATTGAATGCTGATGACATTTAATTTCTATTTTAGCGTCAGATTTTAAATCTAACAGTACGTGGAATCCAGCTGAATATTCGTCTATCCATTCGTTTTGTAGTATTAAACTATCACGTGATTTACCTGTATGACTAAGACATCCAGGCATTCGTTTCCAATTATTAACTGTCTCAATCAACCATCTTTCTTCGAATGAAGTTTTAGAAAAATCTTCATAGAATCCATGCATTGGTTTTATTTTCATTTGGCTTCGTGGTTGTTCACGTGCCAACGTACTTCCAAACCGTAAGGTCGTACCATGCCTACCATGAATGCTTAATTCATTCAAGTATTTGCTCCAGTCCATGACCGCCAAAGGTTCATATTGCTGATTATAAAATATATATTTGATGCTTCCATTTCCATCGAGAAGAGCGGTAACTTGATACGTTTGTGGATGATATATACGTGCATAGAATTGTTGATCACGAGGACTAAAACGTATATGATCAATATCCAAACTGTAGTCGTTTGTGGGTTGAACAATTAAATCAATAAGTAGGTTTTCATGCCCTTGTTTGAGAGATTCACGTTTATCTTTTGGCAAACATTTGTTAGTAACATCAATAAGCTTTTGAAACGGTGCAGAACTTGTTGGATATGATAAATGTACAGTTTGTTGTGGTTTGATGACTTTCTCTTCATTGGTCCGAAATAAAATCAATTCATTATTTGAATTTGTTTTCCAAATATAAAAACGAATATTATTCAATCTGGCTATTGCATCGAAGGCGGAAGTGATTATTGTCTGATCGTCTAGCGTATTGATAAGATAAGTTAGATAGTCATGTGTATCAATTACATGTTTTATAAAATCCTTAAAAGTATCTTCTGCTTTTGAATAATTCTCTAGTTCCACTTTAATTCGATCGGAAATAACTTTTAGTTCATTAAGTTGTTGATAATATACTTTATGTTTTGGTTGTTGTTTAATATGCTCAAGAAGATTCATAAAGTCCAATCGTTGATTTTCTTTTAAACCAATATTGTCATTAATTTGATAAACACATTGATTAACATTTGCTTGATGTTGTTTATATCGTTCGTGAATATTTTTGTAAGCGGATTTGTTCACCATTATATCCGGTAATGTATTTTGTAAGAACGCGATCTGTATTTCCGGAGCTACTAAAGAACGTAGTTCAAGATCATGTGCATTAGAAAAGAGTTGTTCAGCTGCTGTACTTCGTGAAATACCCAAAGCACTAAAACCAGGATTTTGTTCCACTTCAATTTCAATTGCATCTTCTTGAAAAAAGTAAAGTTTATCATTCACTTTTGCCGAATAGATGGGTGTTAAAGCTCCATCATTTTTAATTTGTGGTAGATCAATATTGATTTCGAAATAACACCATTCACCTCGACAAATTAATAAATTAGCTGTTACAATCCCGACAATGTCTTCTTTGTTTGTTTTAATAATCGCTTTAAAAGCATCAATTGACTCAGGGTTTTCATTTGTAATTCGCATCCAACATGCTGCTTGATAAGAACGACTTTGAGTTTTTGGATTAAAAGTTCGACGTAGAAAATCATTTTTGTTCTTTAATCGTAAGCAATACTCTCCGGTTAACGACCAATCATTGTTTATTAAATTTTGACGTTGATATTTCCATCCTAGTGCATAATCTATTTCATAAGATTCAAAACCTAGATATGCAGCTTCCTCGTCTAGAAGATTTGCATTGTAAAATTGAGCTATTTCTAATTTTGTTTTATTTATAAATAAAGATGTCTTTGGATCGGGTAGTGATTCAGGCTCAGAATTATCTCTCGAATTGTATGGCTTTTTATTTTCTAATGGAGCTGAAATTTCTTCTTTTTTGGCATTAAAATAACGTCGTTGAACATTATTATCTGATTCATTATTACTTTCAATCCATCCATGACGTAACTTGTCAGCACCTGGAATTATATCTGTCTTAGAATACATGATGATTTCATTCGTAATAATCGTGGATTGTTCGTAATAATGATAACCAGTATATCGTTTCTCATTTCCTATTTCCAAACTAGTTTTAACAATGACTGGATCGAGATACGGTTCACAGCGTCCAGGATTTGAATAGATCGTAAAGATTTGACTGTTTTCTTCTTGTGAATTAGATTGAGAAATAACTAACAATTGTGAATTACTCCATGGTGTTAAATTACCATCTGCTACATAATAAGCAGTACCTATTTTTTTCTTTTTAATTGGCAAAATGAAAATACAATTATTATTGGGTTTATAAGCGATATAATTTGGATACCCATTGTAAATATTTTCCAAAGACCATGCAGTAAAATCAAACAAACAATCACCAGTTGCTTGTCCTTTCGTATCTTGTTTATAAAGTTTAAACGAAGCTTCTTTATTTGCTTTATGTAATATATAATCTTGACCTAATGTATAAACAAATTTATTTCCTTGTAATATATCTTCATCAATGATTTTTTCTTGCCATTGATATCCATCAAATAACCATTTCTTATTGCCACATGTAATTTGATTGATATTAAGCTGAGGAAGATATTTAGTTAAATCAACTAATAATATATCTTGAAAATATTCAGCTACAAATTGAGAATCAGTTCGTAAATTTTCAGTCATATCTGTAAACCATTTTCCCGTTTGTTTATTAAAAAGTACAAATCCTTTAACATCTTGAATAGTGACTTTAATTTCTTGATTATTTAATTGATATAGACGAAGACGTTTCACTTTTTCGTCTTTTACTTCTTTAGTCACTTCTTGAGGTTCGAAAACAACTCGAAATTTGTTATTACATTTTTGATACATTAAACGATACGTGATTTTCTCGTCTTTAATAAATTCTTGTTCTTGAGGCTTTGAAAATATCTCTTTGTAAGATTCTTGTTGAATGACTGTATCCAACTTTTCAAATCGAATATTATAGCTTGAATCCAATATAAAAATACTTATTACGGATTTTAGGTAACCATTTTCTTCTTGCCATGACGATACACATATAATATTATTATAAGATTGTAATACGTATTGTTTTAAATAGTCATAAAGTTTTTCTGATGAGGCTGAGCTTAGTTCAAATTTCTCAAGTGTTTGTTTACTTTTTGATAAATAATTTGGAATATGTTTAAGGAATTTTGTTTGCCAATTCTTATTCAAATCTCGATGTCCTATCCACAGATGTTGATCATCATAAATTACTACAAGAGATTGATTTATAGCAAAGAAAATTTGTGAATTTTGGGAAACGTTTGCAGGTCTTGATAAAACTTTGTCTTGCCAAACCTGTTGTTCAAGATTCCAATCAATGATAATGATTTGTTGTTGTGGATTGACGATAATTAAAACATTATCAACCCATTGTATTTTCAAGTCTGATGTTGAATATTGTTTGGGTTTAACAAGCCATTCACCACTCGAATCACGATGGTAAAGCGATAATGTAAATGTATTGTCATAGTTTTTGATAATGAATCCAAAATAATCTTGACAAGCAAAAGCTCGATACATAGATACTTGTTGAGTACTTGGTACATTAACGAAAGGATATTTATCAATTTGTAAAATTTTAAAATTTAATATTCCTCCGGAGACTTCACTTAAGATTAAATAATTCGGTCCACTTGTAATCTGAGGTTGTTCGCGTAGAACATATTGTCCTGAATAAAAATCTAAAGAGTGTCCGATGCGTTTAAGTTTATTAATATGATAAATAAAATTGAGTTTTTCTCCACTAGGCAAACATATTTGATCTAATTGGGTAGAACTATCATAGTCTTTATAAGAAAATGCCAGTATTGGATCTTGGTCTGTATCTTCTAGTTGGGACAATGCAACTAATTGACGAATTTGATTTTGAAGTTGATATTTAAATTCAATTGTTTGAACATTTACACGAGTTGTAATTATGATATTTTTCAAATATTGACCAAATGTTGAAGAGAGTTTTAAATTCCCATCTCCATCATTGAGAATAGGTTCTTGGTATTCTTCTAAGAACTTATTTTCATAATTGAACTGAACAGTACTATTGTAATTATCCGATATTGATTTAAGATAGACAGATTGTGTAAATGATTCATTACCTACTTGACGTTGAACATTCTCATAATTGTAAGTAATCTTTTCGGCTTCGTATCCGTGAATTTCTTTCAAGTGCCATCTTACAGGATATCGTTTTTGGTATTTCGTATCATTTCCTATTCCTAACCAATTTTCCCAACCAATTGTCCAAGCAATAGCATCAGTTGTACCGATTTGCTGTTCAGCATTACCATATATTCGCTTTTCTCCTTCCAAAGTCTTCATTTCCCAATATTGTTTATCCGAATAATAAGTTATATTCATATCAAAATAATTTTCATTTAAAGTAGCCATTCGTATGATTTTGACAATGTTCTTAAAATTTTTATCAGTGATTTGAATTAGTCCATTTGGATTTACTGGCTCTAAGTTGTTGACATCAATATTTTTGATTAAAGTTTTGGTTAACTGATTATCTTCAGTATTTGTTAGCCATTGATTATTTTGTATACGATATGCGTAGTAATCATTATTTTCTATTGGTCCAACTAGAATAATTGCGTTTTCTTGAATATCAGGCAGGCTGTTGACATTTAAACTTTTGATTAAAAATAAATGATAGCTAGTAGCCAACCTGAAACTTTGGATATGAGCAGTCTGTGAACTTCGACACAATAGTGGCATACTACCATGGCTCGTTGCCCAATAATAACGATGTGTCAGAGGATCAACATTCCCTTGATAATCTACGGCGATATAATCTTCAACAAGACCCCACCCAACTCCCAAAATTGACGCATGCTGATTAATGCCTTGATATCGTAATGCTAATTGCATTTGCAAACCATTAGATCCTGTATTCAAACTTAGAAAAGGCAAAGTAAAGTCCAATTTACCGCTATTAGTATTAACAGCAGATAGTAAAGGCTTAATATCAAGAGTATCTCGTAAAAACGAGACAGATTTTGGTCGATCCATAAGTTCACCTTGTGGTGGAACTAGTCTTGATTTTATAACTTTCATTTCTTGACTTTTGGATGGACTGCTTGGAGATGGTTTTAAGTTTGATACTGATACATTTTCTACAAAATTCGACTGAACAATTTCCTTTTCAATTGTTAAACAGTTCAATTGGCCATTATGCTTTGTAATCAATATAGATGTTTGAGTTGGACTTCTGTTCGAAGGAATACACATGAAAGGAATAGCATATTTGTTTTGTAGATTTAATTGATCCGGATTCAAATTATTTTCCCATTTACGAGTATCAGGATTAAAAGAACATATTGTCAAACCGCGAGGTCCGGTGTAAATCATTTGCATGAGACCGCCACCACTGATATCATCAAATAACAAAGAATCAGAATGTTCCTTATGCCATCCAAATCGTTCTGCCATAGATGTATCATGATTCAAGCAATCAAAGCGTTTTTCTTCTTCGATATATTGATAAACTCTTAAGCCATCAAACTGCAATAACACTAAATTAGAAAATTGGCTTTTCGTTAGGCGAACAAACCATAGTTTATCTCGTCCTGGTCGCCATCCTGAATCTTTATTACATAGATTAGTTTTGATTAATTCTGTGAGAACAAAGCCTTCGATCGTCATTTGAAAACCGTAAATAGAAAGTCCTTGATCATTTTGACGAATAATATTTGTTGTACCATTGCTTCGAATATCAGCAAATTCAAAATGATCATCATTGGCGGTTGGCGGTAACAGTGATGATAGACTCTTATTTGTCTTTTCATCTTTCCATATTGGACGTTGTTTATCTTGAAAACCATTCGGATTGAGTATATAAAAACGAACGCCTTGTTCAATATGTCGAGTAAATAATCCTAGTGGCGTATCCGATCCATAAAATGAACCCCATTGTAATAGATTACATTCATCATACCAACGACTGGAATCTGGAAAAAGTGTATCTTGTGCTAAGTGGTGCAATCTCTGTTGTGATACATCATAATCAGCGAAATAAAAGCCATGTTGAACTCTAGAAATTAATATTTCTTTGTTTAATGAAGGTATTTTCCAAAACTGTACAGGATAACATGCTTTATCGAATCCATTATTATCACAAAAAACTTCTTCATACAATATTTCTTTCCAAGTATTCTGTTGTGGTAAGAATTGAAATATTCGTAGTCCATCTGTGCAACGTAATGCTAACTGATAATCATTGGAACTCGTTAATTGAGTAATCGAGATCGATCTCGATTCTTGTAAATTGAATTTTTGAAGTAAATCAGTCCAAGTATCTGTTTGAACTATTTTGAAGGATAGATGTGTCGGGTGAGTATTTAAAGTAGCAGACGAATTCCCATTAGTACTACCGGAGGTGGTGGTTTGGTACATAATCGTGGATATCTACAAATTTATATCAATAGGCATGAATATCGACGGATTTTAGCGATACGTTATTTTTTGTCGATGCAACGAAGTGCAAGCATATCAACTAAAATATAGCTCTCAATATGAACAAAAACAAGATGACTTAAAACAGCCCTATTTTACAGAATAAAATAAAACTTGAATATTTGTTGTTTCGATGTAATCAACTAATAACAGAAGATTTCTGACAAGGGAGTGGTACAAACTCCAAAGTAAAAATAAACATACACAAGAAACATCCGAATATACAAAAAAACGATGGCTATAATCGCAAGACTTCGCATAATAACGTTACTGAAAATTAGGTATGTATAAATATCAAAGTGTAATACTGCAAGTTCAGTTGAGAAATCTCTCTTCCGCGCATATATATATTCGTAGGATATAGAAATCAGTTAAATGTATCAGGTTGTATAGCATTCTCTACTTTCATACTAGTTGGAAAATGTTATTGAAGAACAGTCTATCTTCGGTAATGATTTACTAACAATCAAAACATTGACCACCATTCATACAATCTACAAGAATCGAATTATTTTTTCATTATATCGATTAAATAGAAAATAGTACTATTTAGATAAAAGTCATTTTATTATCGAGTTTTCAGACTTTTCATTATGCCACCGTTCAAGTAATTTTCGCAATATTGATTCCTCAAGAAAATGACACAAAGAAGCTTATGCATAATTGATAGATACCCATTTTTATCTGCTCTATTGCTAAAACTCTATTTTTTGTTTCTCTTTCGCTTTAGTCCAGGAGAGTTGTCCCTATGGTAGAATCTTGTCAGATTCCGACAGAAATCTCATCAGATATTATCAGAAATAGTAAGGTGTGGATACGGATAAGACAATGTGGGAATGAACAACACCCACCCACATCGAACCCATACCCACATTTGCGGGTCTTGGTTTGTGCAGAACAGAACGAGAAAAAAAAAGATTGTGTTTTTTCTCTTGCCCACATATATATGATTATTTTTTGCATTCGCGAAAGCTGCCAATCCGAACATCACCACGAAAACAAATCTTACGAAGGAAAAGATAAATATGTTAGAACGGAAGCAAACAAAAGGGCGCATTTATTCTACGATTTACCATATATTTTTAGTTAGATTGGTATTTTCTTCCTCGGTTAGTAGGAAAGGTATAGGCGAAGAAAGCAGCAATCTAACTAAAAACATATGGTAAATCGTAGAATAAATGTGCCCTTTTATTTGCTTTCTTTCTAACATATTTATCTTTTCTTTCGTAAGATTTGTTGTCGTGTGGATGTTCGGATTGGCAGCTTTCAAAAACGCAAAAAATAATCATATATATTTGGGCAAGAGAAAAAACACAATCTTTTTTTTCTCGTTCTGTTCTGCACAAACCAAGACCTTCAAGATAAGAGGGCACTATTGTTTTTTTCTTTTCCATCAAATATTTCATGGATTCCGAGTTTCATGTCTCTACTATCTAATTGATCGCTTAAAAATGAGTGATATGTGATTGAAATGAATGACTTTCTGATGAGAGTGTGAGTCTGGATAAAACAATGAGGGAATGAAAAACTTATGTCTATTTTTCCTTTTGTTAAGATTGCTTAAATGGTTTTCCTCCGAATGGTAAGTAACATTCAAGAATGAAAAACAAACATTAAAATTTCCTTTTGTTTTATATTCCTCAAATGAATTTCATGAAATTCGTCAGTTATATTCGAGAATCAAAAATTTACATTCATTCTTCTTTTGTTTTCGATTATTTAAGTGGATCTCGCCGAATGGTTAGGTAACATGTGAATATAGGGGAAATAGCGCTGTGTCGTATGATAGCGAAATCTATGTTAATTATCGATTTATTTCAGTTTCCTTGCTGGGCTTTCGTTTTGTTGAGCTCGGAAACCTGCGATGGATTTATCGGGAAACAGCTTATTTTTAGAAATTACACAGAATTAAGTAGTAAGGAATAGAATTAATGGTTTAATGGATAAATATAAGGTTAGATATGCCTTTAATAGATCAGATATGTCTCTGAAGCGTAGATATGCGTTGGAAGAGCTCTGTAGAAAATGAATTTACAGCATATTTATGGTTGAGCGATATCATACGAAGCGCCATACAAAACATTGACTAGGAAACGTTTTTTAAGCTACAAAAAGATGGATTTCTACTAAACTTGCAGCACGAAACTTTTTTATGCTAAAATAATAATAGTCTTATACGAAACTAAAAAAAGGGTTTAGAATTCGTTTCAAATCTCGAAATCTTTTTTTAGTTTCGTATGCCACCTTTTTTTTCAGTGTATTGAAGGTTGATCATCTCTATTTTTCTGATCAACTTCCTCCCCTTTTCAGTAAATACCCCTTCAACTTTTAAGGGTTATATTAAGCTTTGTATTATAATCTGTTGAGAGGATATTAGTTGTAGTTCGTTTCATTTAAAACTGTCTGATAAAAAAAAGACCAAATACTTAACTTTATCCTACTTTTACTTAAATCTTTAAGAGTAGACTAATTAACTTTTTGACAGTTAATCTGATGTAAGCCTAAATAAAATAGATTCATACCAGTAAGCTTGTGTCACATGTTAATACCAGAATGAAAATAGATATGAAGCTGTAAAACACAGTGTTGCCGGACGGAGGTTATATTAACAATGTAAAACATACACTGATATTCTTTAGGAGAACCAGGACATCCACTTACCATCTTTCTCTCTCCGTAAATATACATGTACTCCTGTGTTTTAGTCTTATCGTATCTTTAAGTTGTACTAGTTATTCATTATTTGTTGTTTTGTTTTAGATACGTAATGGCTGCATCATATAATTTTCAACAATTTCATTCAAATTCAGAAAATCAAGAAATAATCGATCTACAAAACAACTTGGCAAGTTTCGAAAAACGCCTTGATGAATTACAAAAATGTACATCAGGATCTGATGTCGTCGTAAAAATGTTAACCTTACAAGAAGACGTAATTTCTCTACAACACCAAATCGACAATGCGGCGAAATCAGGAAAACAAGAAGTAAAAGATTTACAGAAAAACTTTCAGCACTTGAAAAGCTCGTTCACCGAAACTACAAATATTTTATCAAAAAGAGTAGATGTTATTGATGATAGTCTTCAAGCCAATACAAATCGTGACAACATACATTTATGCATCACACATCTGGATAAACATCGATGCCAAGCAGCTGCTGTTATAGCTGATGAAATGGCTATTGACTCAGTTGCACAATTAATAAAGGATTACTATAGTTCAGACGATAAAGGCAAAGATGGCAGGAAAAAAGACTTACTCCAATTCATCAATTATATGAAAGATAGCCAAAGACGTAATTTATACAAACTCTTGTTGGACAGCATGAGTAAGCAGAAATCATATTTTAACGGATATTGCACTATAATTTCAAAGAAAATAAATCTTAGAAGATACCAGTGATGATCTAAGTCAATGTCGAGTATAGCGCTGTTTTTAGCGGCAGATTGTAAAACTGTTAGAATTCATTGTAATTGAACTAGAATTAAATATGAATCTGGAGAGTGAAAACTAGGATTGAATTGAATTTAGTTTTAGTTTGCACCTTCGATCACATAACCTAAATGTGCTCCATTCTACTGATATTAAATTAAAATCTGTATCAGGTTTGCTTTTAAACTGTTTTGATTCTCATCAATGCCAACCAACTACCACCTAGCCGTCTACACAAAATACAAGGCTCACGAGTCTTCTATAATATTCTACACTGGAAAATAAATATCACCACACGGAACCATTTTTGAAACGAATTCGAAACCTTTTATCAGTTTCGCACTGGGGACGAAACTTTTTTGGTTCAGTGTGGTGCTATTTTTTTTTCGGTGTAGTATACAAAGTTTTTAGAAAGTCTTCTAATAGAATCTCTGTGGAAAATTGTCAGGAAAGAAAAGTCTAACTCCTCCTTAGATTTTTTCTTCAATAATCTACTGCCCAATTCATGAATTTTAACACTAGTCACAACAGCTAAGATAGTTTATTACTCATTTCCTGCTTTTTCTATTCTGGACTTTCAACTCAAACGGAAGCATGGTAATCCAACTCTTTGGTACTCCAAAACAATGCGTCTGATGACCTATTCGCTTCAATTAATAGTAGAAACAAAATGATACATAAATTATAGAAAGAATTATCCTTAACTATAGATTTTCAGACGTCGACTGTTGGTATTAGCTTCATTCATAGATAACACCTAGTCATGTTAAACACTTAGTGTATTAATTGATTTTGAGGATGTGAGTGTCGGTGTCCGTCTGGTGTAATTATTGTTTCCACTCACACTCACACCACCACCCATAATACAGACCGTGGTAGACGGGTTCAAGGAAAGGAGTTTCATCGTGTTTCACATTTTAATCCCAAATGAATTGCGCTAACAGCTTTTCTTAGCACAGCAGTACATTGACACTCACAGATGCTCGGATACTGCAGCTTTCCATTGTAGAAACTATTATTTTTGGTACGGAAAAATTATGTTGAAAGAAACAACACAAAGCAATTATGTTTTGGACCATAGAACGGTTTTTGTAAGGAAAACAATTCGTGAACAGCAATAGTGCAATGTCACTACGATTATCTTATATGCATACATTCCTATGCAGCTTCTATTTTTTAGTTTCAGCTTCTATTCAGCACCTACCGGTTGAGAAGCAACTATTCGTGGGAGGAACACTATTGTCTAAGAAGCAGTACCAGCTACAACTGAATGAGTTTTATGGAACTCCCAACCAAGAGTGGAAATTGGTTTATAAAGCAGTAGAACATGGTTTCAGAGCCGCAGATTTTCATGATCAATGCGATGGGCAAGCACCAACAATGATAATTATCCAATCCAATGAAGGCAACTATCTGTTTGGTGCATTCACACAACTTCTCTGGAGTCACACTCGTGGTTTTAGGCAAGATGTAAACGCGTTTTTATTTACATTAACAAATCCCCATAATCTTCCACCCACAAAATTCAATATAAATAAATCAAAGAGCGACAATGCCGTGTACCATTCTGGGGCTGGCTATCTTGGGGAATATTATTATTTTTATCTTTTTGGTTTTGGTGGTGATGGTCTCCATATGTTTAATTTCATGGAGGGCAATGATGGTACAAGTGGTACTCGTCGTGGTGATCTCTTTGTTGCTAGCCACTGCAATAAGAACAGCTACAGCAGTATCAGATTTCCATGCGCGTATATTGACCAATGTGGTTATGGCGATAAGACATTCACTGGAACTAAATATTTTACCGTTAAGGACATAGAAGCTTACGCTTTAAAATAAAGAATAATTTTTCAAAATTTAAAAAAATGTTTCAGTCAACGATCATTTTGTGGGTGTGGGTGTGGGTGTGGATGCGGTTGCAACTGTTCTTTCGCTACAGACCTTCAACTGCACCCACAACCACAGCTACACTAGCTTTCGAGATGATAACTATTCGAAACTGTTTCATCTTTTAGTCAACGACACAATTACTGTAAATCGTATTTTTGATGTAACTTTTGATAGACACGAGAGAGCTGCGACTTTGACCATTGAAAAGAGAAGATAAAGACGCATCGAATCATATGGTAAAGACTTGTTGATCTACTTTTCTAAGGTTTTTAATTGAGCTTTTTGCAAAACAACGTTCTTGATAGGTGACTAATGTGCCAATTGAAGATCTATAAAGCTGTCCAAGGCTCAGATTCTTAGCTTTAAGCGTTCGGGAGTTATGTTATGCATTATTTTCTCTTACATTATTAAACGCAGTTGTCGGTGAGACAACGATGTGGTGGTATGACAACAGAATGGAACAAAAGGATAATCTCACTCCAATGGAATCGAACCAACGTTTTCTGTTTTTCGGATGCGCCGATATTGATGGCGCGTTTCGATGATTCTCCTTCCCCCTCCTTCTGTTCTCTTTCCATTGTTCTAATGTATCTCTCTTCTGTCTCTCTTCTATCACTCTCCTATATAAACGTGTGTTATGTATAAAGTTGTCACACTCTGGATATGTGAAGAAGCGAATAAACATCCTTGCCGAGAGTGGTGTGGGTGTGGGTGTCAATGACGCAAGGAAAATCACGCATACCCACACCCATATAGAACTATTTAAATTTATTTTATATATCAATTTTCGTAATTTCAATGTACTTTGAACTTAAATTGAAGAAATCAAAAATGTATCCTTCAATTCAATATATATACACATTCCATTTGAAAAGAATGGGTTTCAACAGGTTCAAAAAAGTACGTTATAAGTCTACCGGAAACATATGAACAAAGTAAAGAACGTGTTGAAACGCAGATTTCAGTGAATTGTTTTTGTGGGGAAGACAAAGATAGATCAATATTTTCTACAAAAATCATTTAATTTTTCGAAGCATTGCGTCGCTGTCAAACGTTTAAATGGTAGAATTTGAGATTACATCAAATATTTTATTTACATTTACATATGTCTTATTTGACAAAGGTATCAACAAAATAGAGTTGTTTTTGAAATTCTATGTAATTTAGTAGCCAAACGCGTTCTCGCCAGAGTAAGCAATATACAGGAAACCGTCCTCGTCCTTATGTTTCGCATACATCTCACCCATGGTCGCAGTCATTTGTGGTATAGTCCAAGATTGTTTGAAATTGTTTAGGAAGTTGCCCACTCCTTGGTTCGCATTTTCGACAAATATAAAAATGGCGGTTTCAGCTGACAATGTAAGGCTTCTTCGAATGATCCACTGAAATTGTGCCATAGTGAAATCGTATGGGACTAGAAATTTACGCTTTTCAATATCCGCTATCTTTGACTCGTGTACTCGTTCTACGACTACCGGAATACGTTCTGGATATCTGCTGCGAATTTTTTCAGATTCTTGTTTGCGTTTTTCAATGGATATGTTTTGCTTCAATTGGAATTGCATTGCCTTTTTTGTTGGTAGAATAAGATCAGGTAATATGCTTCGTTTAGCATTATCCTATGCAAAAAAAATGACTATATACTAGTGAAAAAGTTAAAAGGAATCTTCACAATGAATGAGTAATCTGGATAACTTCCATTCTGCCATCATTACATTTTGCATTCTATTTCTTTCTTGCTTTGTTGAGGTCGAACAAAAGGTCATGTTCTTACATATGATAAGATGAATATTTATCTTCTATGGTATAGAGAAATTTGAAAAGCAGTTAAAAAGTGATTCATCAGCTTGACTCCAGTCATTTAGGTTGGTTTTTGTTTTTTAATCTTAAAGGAAAATTACCAGAGCCAACATTTGACAATGACGTGCTGAAATCAAAACGTCATTTAAATGATAATGTGATAATTTCATTGTTATTGTGAAATCGAGTTTTTGAGGCATAATAGTGTAAATTTTACTACAACCGTCTCTGTCTATTCAGCAAAATAAGGACCTGACTTTTTGGTCAATGTAGACATTCAGTGAATTACTGACTTCAGATATCATCACTATACTCCTTGCAATGCTTACTATCAATCGATGTTTCCCGAACAGGAATTGTAAGCAAACTAAATTATCGGCCTAGTGCGAGATCTGGTTAAGTCTGTTCTGAAGGGGGATCGATTGGGACAAGAAATGATTTCAACATTACTCAAACACATTGGTCCGGAGGGGACAGTCAACAAACGGGCAAAGGACCGAAATGTTCTCCGTTCTGAAAATGTTTGAAATTAATTCATGTAGAAGGGAGCAGAACGAAGCACACCTTTACCAAGTTCTCACCCGCTTCAGACTGAATGAGAAATTGTGCTCACCGCACGTCATGCATCAGAAGGTCAAGAGCTACAATAACAAATCTCATTCTTCTTTTAATTCTATTCATTGTTCAATTTGTAACATAACTATTCTTGTGGATGCAGCAGCATTGATAAAATGTCACTACAAAAGCTGTTCTTGTACAAATCATCACAGAGTTCTAGGTTTTTGAAAAGACCAAAAAAGGAATACTTACTTACCGCAAGCAGATATCAGCGACAGATGTAAGCATGAATTTCGCTCTTTTCCAAGTTTTAGTTAGTCACTGAACGCATATAAGCCATCCATTCGAGCACTCACACGTTGAAGAGTTATATTCATGAGCACTTACTTTGCACGAGGTATAGTGGAAAATAACCACTAGTAAAGACTGGAAAATGACATCCCTTCGCACACACATCCAGAATCTCTTTTATATTTCACAGAAACACTCCAACTAGTCCTTAAGATTCCAACATATAATGATATCATCAATCGATCATAAAAAATTAACAATATTATTTGAAATCAGTGTGCAAGAACAATTAACTGATAAACATGAAGAAGAAAATAATGTTCGAATAAATCGATGACACTTGAAAGAATACTTCGTATCGGAAAAGGTATAATTAAAGCTTGTGTTATGGTAGATTTTTTTGAATAAAGATTTAATAATAAAACAACAAGTTAATCAACATTGAATTGTTTATACGTTTTATTTTTACTGATCACAGACAAGCCGGATATTATCACATGATTATTGTATTCTTTCTAATGAAGCTAATATTGTTGATCTGCCAGTCTAATAGTATTTTACTTGTATTCTGCAATGATTGTACTTCATACAGTAATAGAAATAGTTCTTTTCTTTTCTTTTCTGGCACAATGATGATTAGAAGTGAAAAATTAATAAAATTGTTAGCTAGTGATTTAGTCTATATTCTTTTGGATCAACCTAATACAATATTACATCAATAAAATGTCAAATATTATATTTCTCAATATGCTGAAAAACAAAACAAAATGATTCATGTTGACGTAAAATCTGCTTCTTCCTGTCTGGCTTCGGTACATACAAGAAAATGAAGAAAAAGATAAACAACATACAAGAAAGTGGTGACCTCTTATTTTTTTCGAGCATATCCCAGGTCAAATAATCTGACTGTAAGATCTTATATGATTCCTACAAGAGCGTATCGAAACTTACTTCATGATCTTATATGAACACACGAGATCATACGAATACCCTGAAGCCAACATTTCTGATAAAATCTTACGGTATCATACATAAAATATAAAGCATATATGTAGTAGGCGAGTTTGGAATTTAGTTGAGTTTGGAATAGCTTTTTCTTAATTTTTTTCAATAGAATTTTTGTTGAGATCTGCCTTTAGAAAATTTTGTATTGATAATTATTCCTTCCATCTTTTTACAAGGTTTTCATATAAATTCAACTCTCTGTACATTTGTTAAACAATGGGGACATGGGGACATTGAATTTATCTGAGAAAAATAAATT